TTAATATGCCTAGTAAGGAATCTATTTGTCAAAAAAAGATTTCCTGAATCTTTTTTGTTGTCTGTATTGTTACAGATATACTTGCCAACAGGTATTTTGAAATAAATGACCAAAAATAATTGAAACTGGTTGATTATATTATGTTATTTTGACAAAATATGCAGAATTTTAAAATACTGTGTGCAGAATTTTTATTTTTTGGCCCAGAATTCCCCAAGGAGTAATGTGTGTAGACTGTTGTAGGTTTACTTGATTTAAGGCACACCCTCAACCTCAAAGCAAGAGGCAAAGGACAGTATCAAATGATTGTGGGACAGTTTCCTGCAGCTACACGGGACCATTTTTGCCATCAAATATTGCAGTTAGTAAAAATATTACAGAAACTTTTAGAAAAGTGTACAGAATATCCAGTGAGATATAAAGATTTTATTGGCAGGTGGCCGTTCAGTTCAGGACTGCCCCATGCTCAGATTTTCTTAGTTACACCAGTGTAAGTCAGGAGTTACTCCATCAAAGTTAATGAAGTTATACTGCTATATGTGAGAAGAATAAAATAATCCCCTTACAAATAGTTTGTTTAAAAGCCATCTGTGCCTCACCCCCAGAGTACATTATAGAATAACCAGTGCTTTACGTTATATGTAATCCATGTGTAGATGTGTTCGGAAAGCATGTTTCCCACCCCATGAGGAGCACTAATTTTGGTTGAGTCTTTCACAAACCAAAGAGACCAAAGTGTTAAAATTCAAATGCAAGTGTTCTATAGAAATTGGTACATTCCTTCCTATGCTCATGGAGCTGTAGGACATCTCACCAGGAATGTGCATTCTAATTAGAGATGTGCTCTTGCCTAACTACTGAAAATACCTATTAAAGTCACATTCAACATCCCTTGAAAGGCATGTTCCCAATTTTAAATAGTCACAGGATATTTTAAAAATTTAACAAAGACCTATCAGATTCTTCATTTTTAAAAACAGTACAATCAGGGCTCCAGTTATATTTCATACTGCTCTTTAAATCTATTCACAATTGACAGTTCAGTGACAATCACAGCCACCTACACAGTCTAGGGAGGAAGAAGAGATCAGAGGCTGAAATGAAGTTTGAAGCATGTATTCTCTCTCATTATAAGACTTCAAAATTGTTCTCTTTACTATTAAGAGTGTATTTGATCCTGTGTACAGGGATGTGATTTAATAAAGTGCAATATTACAAGAAAGCTATTACCATGCCCTCATACATTCATCAGCTAGTAAGAGGCATTAGAGTTCCTTTGACTCTAAAAGCCGAACTTTTAAAATACATAAAAATGAAAATCTCATCTCCGAAGAACAGATCCGGACGGATAACAAAATAATGAGCAAACAAGGAAAAAAAAAAAAAAGAACAGTGGGGAAGTATTTCAAAAGAGATTTCTAGAGACTGCAACATAGCACCTTACTTGACAACATAAGGGAATTAGTTCTGCTATTTATCTCATTATTTATTTGACACTCACTTGAATAACTATGTACAAGATCAAAACAACAGCTGTGAAGGTAGAACTTACCATTCATAAGCACTTTAAGCTGCTTGTCATAAAATTCTGTTTCTTTCTGAGAGATGAAAGCACATTCAGCACACTGGCGCACAGGATCTACAAAGCACATACGAGGCAGAGGCACTTTTTTACTGCAGCACTTGTCACAAAAGCACTTCCCACATCTCCGGCAATGGTGCTAGACAAAAAAAAATTATAAAAAAGATGCAATTAATAAGAGCTGATAACGTTACCACATCAACACTACTACTCCTGAAGCATTGGCATGCACAAGAGAAACTAGGTGAGCAAGTAACAACAAGATACAGAGGGGGAAAAAAAATACTAGATATTGCTAATTCAGTATCACATGATTCTAAAGATAGTAAGAAGTGCTAAAATGACATCTCTGGAGACTGGAACTCTAAAGACGGTCCAGCATGAGCAATAGCAGTGTAAGCTTCTCCAGACACCTGAGCACAGTGCTTCAGGTCTGACCAGAGTGAACAAGGGTGAAAAGGAGTCTCCATGGACCATTAAATCCTTGTCCTCACTGTCAACAAGACTGCAAAAATATAATGGTGGTTTGCATGTCCTCTTCACTTTCCATGGAGATTCCACTGGGCTCCATCCTCAGCCTACTCCTCTCCCTCCAAATATTTAATTCCATGTCTAACAGTGACAGAAGCAATTCCAGGTTTTATAGACTGAATGATCAGTTACTAGAACAAGAAAAATTCTACAAGTGTCCTGTAAAGTTGGGATAATGGCAAATCATTTGCAAGTGTGATAAGGCCTATTTCACAACAATTATAATTTCGCAGCCAGTCGACATTAGTGGCTATCCCTCAATACAAGGATAATACCTGCCAGGAGGAAAAGTCATAGATGAGACTTAAGATAGCTGAGGAGTCCTATCTGTGCTCTACAGGTTTTTCCACATACATGACAGGTGGTTGTTTGGAGAGAGCACAACTGCTGGCCGGGATATTGTACATTTTCCTTCTGCCTGTGCTGTTTTCCAGCCTTGTGAGCAAGGCAATTCTCTTCAAAATGGCTGAGGCTTGATGTATGATGTGATGCCATTGCAGTCTATTGCCAGCCAGTTCTTCCCAATTTGTTGGGTCAACACCTCCCTTCTTAAAATATACTTTCAGGGAGTCCTTGTAGTATTTTTTTGCCCCTGTGGATCCTCTTCCAAAGACTAAATTGAGAAAAGAGCATTTGCTTCGGAACACAAGTACTGGCCATCTACACACAATGACCAGCCCAACAAAGTTGATGTTTCATAATCTTCGCCTCAACATTGGTGATGTTAGCTGCAGAGAGAATGCTGGCCTTGGTGCAACAGTCTTCCCATCTAATACGGAGAATATTCCTAAGGCAGTGCTGTAGGTGCCACTCCAGATGCTTAAGATGGCTTTGGTACATCACCTAGGTCTCACACCCATAAAGGGGAGTGGGAATGACCACTGCATCGTAGATCAGGATCTTAGCTTCCATTCACAGATCTCTCAATAAAGACAGGACGAAGCAACTTTCCAAAGGATGTGTTGGCACAGCAGGTCCTATGTTCAATCTCCACATCAAGATAGACTGGGAGAGGTAGCTACCAAGGTAAGGGAAATGCTCAACATCTTCCAGGCATTCACCACCGATGACAATTTGTGGGAGAAAGGGGGCAACTTATCCTGGGACAGGCTGATGGAGCACCTTAGTCTTCCCAATGTTGCGGGAAAGTCACAGGTTATGATAGCACCATAGAAAAGATCTAGGGTGGATTGCAAGTCAGCCTTGGTGTGCATGGCGATAACACAGTCATCAGCATACTAAAAGTCTGTAATAACAGTCCTAGCGACCTTTGTTTTTAGAATGAAGATGCCACATCATTTAGGTTGAAGAGCTGGCCATCCATGTGATTCTTCAAAAACTGGGATTGAGTAAGGCAGTCACAAATAAGAATCAAGATCACAGCAACATAGATGGGGAAAAAAGGGTTGAGGCAATAACACAGCCCTGATTGACACAAGTCTAGACGGTGAACGGGTGCATCTCTAACCCATTAAAGAGGACAGTGTGCGGTCATCCCATCATGAAGTAACCTGAGAACGCGAATGAACTTCAACGGACAGCCGAACCTAGACAAGACTTTCCATAACGGTTCACAACTGAGGGAATCAAAGGCCTAAGTTAGGTCAATAAATGCCATAAACAATGGCTGGTGTTGTTCTATACACTTCTCTTGGATCTGTTGTGCAAGAAAAATCATGTCGGTGGTGTCTCGAGACAGTCTGAAACCACACTGGGATTCCAAAAGGATACTTTGGCAAGAGATAGGAGATTATTCAAAAGGATGCAAGCAAGGATCTTCGTGGCAATGGAGAAGAGAGCAATGCCTCAATAATTCCCACACATTAACTTGTCCCCTTTCTTAAAAATGGTAACAATACTGGCACTCTTTAGGTTGGGTTGAATTTTCTCATTAACTTCAAAATCATGCTAGTAGCGAGACTCTTCAGCGATGCCTCATGGAGAGGTTCTCTGACCTACCTGACAACATCAATGACATCCAAATACATTGGGAGGAGTTCAAGACCATTATTCACAAGGCACATGCTGAATTCACAAGGCATATACTCCACTCACTGGATTGGATTTGATGAAAATGAGGAAATCCTAGCACTTATTCATCAGAAGAGAAGCACATTTTGCACTTGGTAAAATGAACCCTCTAACCAGCAAAAAGACTCTTATTGGCTTAAAGTTGTAGTTCAAAGGGGGCTGCATGACATCAAGCATCAGTGGTGGCAAGCAAAGGCAATGGAGATCCAGAGCTTCGCTGATCAACATGACATAAGAAGCTTTTTTCAAGCAACAAAAGTCATTTACGGGCCAAGTTCAAAGGACATAACCCCTCTGCAATCTCAGGACAGCTCCACCCTTCTTAAGGACAACGTAGCCCTCAAGCAACATTGGAAGGAGCATTTTGAAATACTATCGATCTGCAAATCTGAAGTCTCAGCTGCCACCATCCAGTCCATTCCTGAGCATTCAGTAATAGACCCTCTTGCTGACGACCCCCCGCCCCCATCTCCTGAGGAAGTTTGGCATGCCATCACTCAGATTAGAAACAACAAGGTGCCAGGCCCAGATGGCATCCCCATGGAGGTCTTCAAAGCTGGTAGAATAGCACTCGTGCAAAAACTTCAATTTCTCAGCTAGTAGTGGGACCCCAAATCATTATTTCCACTGGAAATGACAGGCACAATAGCTATTCCTTGTTTGAGATCACAGAGGAAATTAAAATAATTCATGCTACATAGTAAAACTCTCCATGGGAGATGGAGCATGTCAGGCAACCAACTTACGGATCAAAGTAAGTTTCAACCACTGATGTGAATAAATGATAGCTTGAGTTTCTGAATATTTCTTTAATTAGGGAGCAAAACTTATGTGCACAGAACCACCAATCAACCTCTCCAATATGCCTATCCTCCTCATTGACCAGCCACATTTACTTATCATAGTTACCAGTCTAATACTTTTAGAATTCCTGAAGATTCCCAGTATACCATATTTAATAAGATTTATTTTCCACTTCGTTACATCATATCTGTTGGGCTTTATATTCCAAATAACACATTGCAAAACAAGTGTTTCAACTCAAGATGCATCTTATATTCATCTTTCTTCCTTTCCATCAGTGTATGCTAGCAAAATGTCTGTGTAATTAGGAAGTTATGCAAGGAATGTTATTCATAGCTAGAATGATTGTCCTGCTGACTTTTGCACAAACTAGCAATCTAAAACAATTATGTCTCCCCTTCTCCAAGGAGAAACTCCAGATTCTTGGCAATATGCTCCGTCTTCTCTGACAGTAGTTCCCAGTAAGACAGCACCTTCTCTATGCTGCTTGCTAGTAAAAGTTCAAGACAACATAAAAGTTAATTAAAATACTCTATATAAATGGACTGAATTACATGCCCAGTGCAGTCCACTGCATCAATTTCAATGAACTACTGTTCATAATTCAACAAAAGAACTATTTTTACTTATAGCAAATGCATCTTCTGCCAATATCTTCACCCATTATTTGTTTTGCACATTTTGCCCAAGTACTTTATAATTGGGCTCTTCCTAGAATCCTAGCCTTGAAAATAAGTGTTCCTAATACTAGACTCTTTCACTCACATAACCAATATTTTATGCAACTCTGAGTGTACTGACATGAACATGTTTGTCGTTTACTTGCCAGCATTACTGACAACAGCATATTTTGAGAAGTGTTACTTATATGTTGCCTCAAAACCAGCAAAGTATTTTAGTCCTAAAAATAGTCATTTATTTTAAATTTCACAGCAGAATAATAGATTAAAGAGGATGAAGACCTACTCCTAGAGGCGGGAAACAAAAGCTATTTTTAAGGCATGTCAAATTTTGGGTGTAAGTATCCTTTTGAAAGGAGAGGTTTCAACACATTTCAAAATAAGAGTTCACAAAAAAAGTTCCACAATGTAATGTGTTTAGGCTATTATGTTTTGTTGCTCTCTCTTACCTTTCTGGTTATGAAATCAAACTTTGTTTCACACTGCATACATCTTGGACACTAGAAGACAGTAAAGAGTACAAGATTTATGTACATCTTTATCCAGATACAATGCACAAGACTAAATATATTAGAGTAATTTCTAGAAAGTTAAATAGCTCTAATGAATTCCCATGCAAGTAATGTCTAAGTAATGCTTGTTTCTTGCTTATCTTAATTTTCTGAACATTTATGTGGTAGGCAAGTACGATCCACATCTTACAGAGAAAGAAGAGCAAAAGAAAAAAATTGATTTTCCCTAGGCACAAAGTAAATCAGTAACAGTCAGGATTACAACTCAGGAATTCCAATCTCATGCATAGTCCATTAGTCCAAATTTGTATTAACTTGTATAGTGTACATAGAAGATAACTATCCATTTATTATACTGTTACACATTTAACTCACAAGTGTTGTTGGTTTATGCATTATCAGTAGTTAAAATATCTGAAAAATAGCATAATTATCTTGGAAGTCCTGTTCCCTCCTCCATCTCCCCCCCACAACCACGAAGGCTAAATCTATATCTGCAAAATTTCACTTTGATAGTTTATAACTTTTTCCTAGAAAGAGCTTGGTGAAAGAAAAAAAGATATATGAAGTCACAATTCCCCCCCCCCCCCGCCCTCATTAAACATTTGATAAGAGCCAGCTGCTCTGGGTTTTGTTGTCTAAACTGGTAACAAAGTGCTTGAGAGAAACTTTATTCAATAAGTATTAGATGTGGTTATTATTATGGCATTTTCTACGCAGATACTAAAAAAGTCACCCACTACGTGCTGATCTACAGCACTATTTTACATCACCGGCATCTTTCCTGAGACCCTCATATTTCTACATTGTTTCAATTCAACACATAATACCAGATAACATTTCAATTACAAAGCCTTGGATAGTATCAGGTTTATCAGCTAGGCTATTAATGCAATGTTGTGTTTGACATTTGGGACAGGTGGTAATATGTTCAGGTTCTGCAACAGCTTTTGGAATTATAAAGACTGTAAGCTCTTTAGACCAGAGCCCATCATCATCTTATGTTTGTGCCATGCCTAGCACAATGGTGCCCGAATCCCTGACTGAGGCCCCTAGATGCCAGTGCAATACATATAAATGTATCTAAAATTGAGAGCACAAGGCAATGGGTTGGGAGGTGAAGGGGCAAATGGGGTAGAGGGGAAAGAGAATACTGCAGTTAGGAGCACTGTCCTTCAGATAATATATTAAGCCGAGGTCTTTCTTGCTTTCAGTGACCATTCAGGCGAAATATCTCATGGTACATTTTGAAAATCATGGGATGAAACACTGTGCCTTAGTCAATATCCCCTTGCAATAGGCTCCAAAACAGAGTATCAGAATTTAAAATAAAGCAGGTTGTAATGTTCAAGGTTGAGAATGAGCTAACTGCTCAGCATACAAAAGTTGCGATTTGCCTATTGTTACCATGCTTCCAGTATTTAACTCCTTACTTTGTAAACTTCTTTAACGTAACTAGAACTTTTCATGGTCTATTTTAGAAAGTTCTAGATATTTCAGCAGGTTCCAAATCGGTATCAAAGTTCAATAAGCAAAAACTTAGCTGATGTGAACTGCCACATCAGCTAAGTCACAAACCTCAAATTCCTGAGCCACCTACTTTTAACTACAGCTTGATGCATTAAATCACTTCTGAAATTTAGCAAATTTAAGTACCTGCATTAATTTGCAACTAGCCAGTTCCAATTAAAGAGATTGCTCAACTGTTCAAATTAAAATATTATACAGAATGATCAGAACTGGTCTCAAATGATGAATGTTCTTTCAAAAGATGTACTGAACATCAAACCTCTGTCAGAATGGCTACAGAAATGCACATTTACCTTCACTGAATTATCAGGTCAATGCACTAAGCCCTTTAAGTCTATTGCCAATGTAGACTAGCCCTAATAAGTGAAATACTGTGCATTGTTTACAACAGAAAGGAAAAAGCAACAGATTCAGACTAACACGGCTACCCCTCTGATACTTAACAGAAAGGAAATACACTCTATGCACAGCCAGATAAATGAGATGCATCTGCTGGCTTGTCAGTTTTTAAAACATGGGCTAAGCCAGGTTTCCAGCACATTATTTTGGAGATAAACATAGCAGAAAGAGCAGTGAACTCTTAAAAATCAAGCAGCAGCAAAAAGGATCTGTAACTTCACTTACCTTCCCCACCACTATTTAGGAAGCAGATTCACTCACATTTTTTAAGTCAACCCAACAGAACCCTCTTCTTAGCCATTTCTCCAGCAAGACAGCTTTCTGCACTTACACAAGGTTTTGCCTATAATTATTTTGCCTCAGCAGAGAGGGCATTTCCTGCCAGCAAATATGGGAACCACGTATTCACAAGATGGAACAAGAAACATAGGCAGCCTCAAGATAGGAGTTATAAGATAAAATAAAGAGGGGAGAAAAAAAACCCTAACGCCCCAATATCCTTCCATTCCAGGCCACTAAGGCTGTTTTACTGCGCCCTATACAATAGGGGGACAGAGAGAAGCCAGGGCACAGGCGCATAAGTGAAGTGGTTTTTTGAGGGGAGGGTGGAGGGCAGGCTCCTTTGCCTATAGGACTGTAAGAGCCCAACACAAGGGGAAATACTGAGCGCCACTGTAATGAGGGGAGTGGCCCGAACGCCCCAGGGGTGGGTCAGGACCTTGGGATCCCCACAGGCACCTTAGAAAGGATTTCACCACAGGTGCATCTGGATAGCGGAAGTCAGAGTCCAAGGAGCTCAATGCAAGGAGTGACGCGGGGGAAAGGGGCTCACCCAGGCGGGTCGGGGCGGTTGGAGCCAGGAGTGAAGGGGAAGACGGACTCACAAGCGGGGGCCGGTGGTGAAGGGGTGTCGAGAAGGGGGAGCCCAAAGGCGGGGTGGGAAGGAGGGTCGGAGCGGAAAGCGGGGCGGGGGAGAGGAGGCTCGGAGCGGAAAGCGGGGCGGGGAGATGTCCCGCTGGCGGGGGAGAGGAGGGTCGGAGCGGAAAGCGGAACGGGGAGATGTCCCGCTGGCGGGGGAGAGGAGGGTCGGAGCGGAAAGGGGGGCGGGGAGATGTCCCGCTGGCGGGGGAGAGGAGGGTCGGAGCGGAAAGGGGGGGGGTCGCGCTCCCCCACTTACGTCCTTATCAGGCACCCAAGGCGGCTCGTCCAGGCCGAAAGGGCTGCGGGCGGCGTGGTGCTCTGGCACCATACGGAGCCCGCTGGACGAGCGAACCAGCTTCTTTCCATCACAGGCCTCCCCGCCCGACATCTTTCCCACAGCGCTACCAGCCCAAGCAACGAACAGCAGCGCGCCACCCAATCGCCCGTTACTTCCCTAAAACTGATGCCGCTCTCTGCCAATGAACTCTCCGACTAGTGACCCGCCCACTACTATGTTCACCCAATGGAATGAGGCCTGCCCAAACTCTCAGCCAATCCCCTATCGCAATGTAGTACCGCAGTTAAGGCGCATGCGCAGCTCGAAAAACTAGACGGTAACCTCGAAAGAGGAGGAGAATCCCCTTCACTCGCGCCCGAGTGTCTGTACCCGGACGAAGCCTGTAACCAATGAGCGAATCGGAATGTGCGGAGGGCGGATCCAAGGGCTGGTACCTCAGGAAGGCCACGACTCCGAACACGCTGATTAGCCGGCACTTCTTTAGGGCTCTGAATAGACTCGCTGGGATTGGTTTGACCCAGACACCATCTGATTGGGCTTTTCGACCGCTTCTCTGATTGGTGTGCGCCTTGCGCGGCTTCAGACAAATATCCTCGGGTTAGCGGCCATCTATAACTTTTAGGGCGCTAATCCCGTTAGCCTTCTTGGGCGTGGTTGGCAAGCTGCGAGGGCTCAGGGCCAGAGTGGTTGGCCTTGGCCGTGCGAAGATTCAGGCAAGTCACTCTCTGATTGGCTAGCCGTAGCGCCCCTGCTGGTGACTCGGTTTTACCTACGCGCCGTATGGTCCGGGAGCGCGGGTCGCAACTCGCGACGCTTCCCTGGAGGGAGAGTTGGAGGGTGGAGTAGCAAGGAAGCGTCTGGAAAACAATGGGCGGGGCTTCACTTTGGGGGCGGGGCCGGGGGCGGCCGGGGTAGGGAAATTCTCCCCTTCCTGCCCCGGGTCAGAAATTGTGGGTGTGGCTGTTTTACCGTCCCACCCCCACCGTTATCCATCCCCGGTCCCCCGCCCACAAGCCTCGGCAAACCGTCTCTCCGAGGGGCTGCCGCCCATGCGCGTGCCGCGGCGGGGGTTAAGAGACGCTTAAGACTCTCCCTGTGTTGTGAGTCCCGATGGCACTGGCGGAGCGGGCAGCACCGCTCTCCTGCCTGCGCTGTGGGGCGAGCCGGGCCTCCTCAGCGCGGCGCGGGTGTAGCTTTTTACACTACACCGGCAGGGGTGTGGAGGGCCTAGAGCCTCACCCAGGGCTGTGTAATTCCCGGCGGGGACTGTGGGGCATCTTGCCCTGCTGGGAGGCATCGCTCCCCCCGAGCTGGAGTGTCTGCGTCCGTGCCTCCGGCTGCTCTGGTTTGTGCTGCGGGGTCAGCGCCAGTGCAGCGCCGTGGTGGCTGAACGGGGGCAAGCCCCAGGTGTAGACCAGGCTCAGTGTCGCTCCTTCTTTCTCCACAGATGGCAGCTGCACTGCTGTGCCTTGTGTAGCACTGTCACCTATGAAGGGGGCTTTCCTCGGAGGTGTCTGATTCGTGGGGACACCCCCACCCCACTGTTGCCAACTTTCACCTGGTAAATAATCACCGCACCCTGACTTTCACAAGAAGTCAAAAATCAAGCTCATCCTATTTCAAAACAAGCCAATCCCTAAGAACCCCAAGATTGTATTTGACTAGATTCCCCCTGGTGGGCCTGCTGTGCACCCCTGACACTCTCTCCCCCTTGCTTCTCCCCGCCCTTTGCCCCTGTTTGCTGGAAGCCAATTGAGGAGGGGGAAAAAAAAGCAACAAGCTACTAGCCAACAAACAACTCACAAGCCAATTAAGCCAAAACCAAGCCCAATTTCTTGTTTTTTTTTTTTTTTAAGTGGGCTTGCCATGTTTGCCCCACCCCTGGAATCCCAGGGGAAAGGTGCAGCAGCGCTGTTTGGCATATGTCAGGGTTTCATCTCTTCAGTTTGTTGACGTATTATTTGAAGTCCAAGATATTCACACACCCCTTACTTTATAATAAATGGAACAGCAGGAGAGTAGTGCTGATAACAGTTACCCTGTATAACTTATTTGTGTGGATGTTTTGTGGTTGACGGAGAATACTTGTCCTTGAACGGTAAGGATGGGCAGGGAGGTGTGGCATTTTTTGTGTCTATTTGAATTGCAATAACATTTTCAATGCCTTGCAGTCCCTCAATTGTCTTTTGTGACATCCCCTCCAAACAGGGTTAGACCTACCAAACGCAAAACAGTGGTTCAGAAGATTGGTCAGGGTTCTAAGGAAGGAGAGGAAAGAATAAGCACCCATTTATTTCTTTTTCTTCCACACACAGTTCTCTAATGCTGAAAAAAACCACCTCCTGCGTGCCCACAACCTTCCTTGGAAGAATTCAGGTTTTTCACTTTGAAGACCTGGTCTCTCTAGCTTAGTGGTTTAAGTATCCAGTTTAATATCTGAACTCCCCAGGACCATAAATTCAAATACCTGCTGAGCTGGTTCTCCTCTTCATCTTTCTCTGATGATGCATTCCATACCATGTAGTTTAGTGCATGTAAATTAGATTTTAAAAGCCAAGATCCTTTCTACTCTGTGAATATTAAAGATCCTAGAGCACTTTTCATAAGCAGAGGTGTTTGTCCTCATGTCTTGCTCAAAATTTCCCTTCCCTTCACACTTGTATGATGCAGTGGGGGCTGCATTTCAGTGGTACTGTGGGTAAAGTTTGTAAAGTGCTTTGGGATCCTTTCAGTCTAAGGGCACTGTGCCCATCTTTAATTATATTAAGCTTAGCCCTTGAGACAGGTATTAATCATAAGTTTGTTTTAAATAGGTCTTAATTTTAATGAAATTATGTTTAAATCACTGACTTTTTAATGTATTAATCCTGCTCTCAGGACCCATTTCCATATATTATGTATATGTACCCCAATAATTGGACCCTTGTTTTTAAAAAGCAGATTAACTGGGGAACTCAGTCTTGTAAATATGTTTTATACTTGTCTGCCATTACATTGCACAATCCATTATATAAATAATAAAAAGCCTTATAATACTACTTTGTTATATAGTTATAGCAGATGACTCGGCCTTTCTTTTTTAGATCAAAGTTTCAAAAACAATTGGATTGCATTATGCTGTAGTATTTAGTCACCCCATGTTTTAATAAATCAAAACAGTTCTGAGTAACAGAAATATTTATAGTCAGGGATTATTTTATATTACATTTGTATGATTTTATTTCTCTTTGAAAATGAAAAGCTAGGGAGGTGTACAGCTATAGCTCAGCTACAGGCAATGGAAATAATTACCAACTGTTCCTTTCATCAGTGTTATTTTAATCTGTCTCCAGTAGGATGTAGCTACAGAGCATCTGAGGAGAATTTCCATCATGTGAATGGCTAATTACATTCTGGGCTATAGATTATAGACAAATATATTGTTAGGCATTAATAGTATTTGAATGTCCATTTTTCCACAAAGTTGGTCAAATGAAATAAAGACTTATGATCTGTATTTCGTGTATGTTTCATAAGACTTCAATTTACAGACAATCACCAGGCTCTGTACTCACTACAGTACTGTATCAAGACATGGATTGGGACCAGTTTGACATGAACCCCAAAGTGATAGCTGCTGTTAAGAAAGGTAATTTAATCCACCTGTATGTACATTCCTGATTTGCTATTACCATAATATATACCTGTACATAATCATATCCATACTGGAAATGTAATTTAAATACTTGGTGAGACAGTGTGTATTTGCAAATGATACCCTCTTCTCCCAATGATCCAATGGTGATCTTTCCAAACAGCTTTATAATCCGCTTTTGATAAACCCCGAATGCATGCTGCCTCCCATGTCAAAAGCTTGTCAAGAGTAGTGTCCTGGCTTCCAAGCAGTCAAGAAGAGGTTGGCATACTGGAGTTTGTTCTATTAGGAAAGAAATGAACAGACACAGTCAGGCTATCCTTTTCTAATCTAGTCAATTTTATTTGCAATGCGCATTTAATTTCTGTTGTTGCCTTCTTCAAGAAGAAGTTAAAAATCAAAAGCAGCCACAGTTTACACACAAGTAACTCCACTTTGGCGCACCAGAAGAACATTATAGTGAAATTGCTTCTCTATCAGAGCCTTCTCTCAGGCACCACTTCCATCTGATGTTAAAGCTGATAATGCTTTAATGCCTTCCAAAAAACATTAAAGTCCCTTTCCATTCAAAATCACTGATAATCATGATAATATAAACAAAACTTGTAACTTTTTTTTAACCAGTACTCTCAGTAAATTAACAATAAGTGGAAGTCCTTCTCTTTTGTAAGGTTATAGTCAATCCAAAAGCATTTATGAGAATTCCTCTAATTTCAGCTAACATAAAATCCATAAAAGAGATTTTGAATCTTTCTGGAGCAGACTTGCAAAGGCTGACAAAACTGTCCAGTATGGATGTCCAGTGCTTACTGAAAACAGTCTCTGGTACACTGAGGAAAAGCTGTGTGCTTACAGGTAATACTGTCAATATAAATAAAGTAGTTTATTTACATAATTAAAAACCGTTCTAGACTTTTGAGCTATAATGAAAGGTTTAAATTTATTGCTCAAAGA